TATTGAATTTAACAGTTTTTTGAGCATGAATGTTTAAGTATGTATGTATGTATGTATGTATGTACGTATGTGTGTGTGTGTGTGTGTAATTTTATTTTTTATTTCATTTCATAATTATCAGTGTTCCAGTGATTGGCATGTGAACTTTGATAATGAACAAAATTCTATTATTTGTATTTTAATTAGTGCAATTCATCTTCTACATTTATTTATTTTTTTCTTATTCTTGTTTGAGGACCTTTTTTAATTTACACAATTAGAATAACTTCCCAGCTTATGTTCATGTGACATATTATTGTATTGTAGCAGTAACTACAAATTGCATCTTTTTTTGTTTTCTATTTTGGAATGAGCAGAGGCCATTGATGAGGTTTAGCCAAGCGGCAACCTCCAGCTCTCCCTCGTGAAGCAAATACTGACACTCCATATAGAGCAAATTTTTATTGACTCCACTGTTAAAATGGCCAACTTTACAGCAGAAAAATGGTGTTTGCAGCCTGGTACAAAGAAGAATTTTAGTTCATATTGCTAATATTACCCTTCATGACAACTGTGAGGAATGAATTGTTTTTATAACTCCTCTGTTTCCTATATATTAGGTTTCATTAAGTTTGTATAATTAAGGGCATGGCGACTTGAGTGACAGCTAGGTCTCGCTGATCGCAGTCACTTCAACTCGGCTAATTCCTGCTGATTAGCCACTAAACCCGGCATATACATCGCATTTTTGTTTTGTTTTATGTGGCTTTACAGTCAATTGCTTTTTGGTATTATTTCTTACAATTATCAGATGATATGGCATGGTGTGTGCACTTAATTGTGCTCATAAACCATTCACATGACTTTCATTTCTCAACTGAATTAAATGATATACTTGTATACCAATTCTATAAATGTTTGTTTTATTTAAGATCATTTATGATTTATATTTTTCTTTAGACCAGTAAAGCACTCCAGAATCTGACAGATTGATTAGCTGTAGGCTCTAGAACAGTCATCTGAAATGTCATACAGTGTTCTGCCTGGATTTCATAAATAACCTAGCTCTGCTCACGCTCTACCTCTTCACTGTTGTTTGGTATCTCCCAACTGGTGCGAAGACATGCAAACAAAATGGCGACGGTTGGCTACGCATACTTGTAGCTTCATTTGCTTTCTTCAAAAACCTATGGGTGACGTCACGGACACTATATCCATATCTTTTGCAGTTTATGGGTTTTGTAAGGCTTTGGTTTAAGTTTTTGGAAGTGGTGTGTGTTCAGCTGTTTTTTTGCCCTATTTACACTTGGTAATATGTAAATAAGATTGCTTCTCCTTTGACTACTTGTGATCCAATTCACCAAAATGCACCTAAATGCCAGGTGTGTGAACGCAGCACAAAAAGTGATTGCCTTAGCATTTCAAGTGGTGTTCCCACCCATTCCAGCAAAAATATTTTTGTCAATTGGATCCAGCAGAGATTTCCAAAAGCCTCATGCCTGGAACTTTTCCAAGAGCAACATTATTATGACCTGTTTATGAGAAACAGGTGATGCACCCAAGCAGTAAAACAGGCTGCATTCGTCACTACTCACCTGCTGTTTCCTCATAGTAAAGAGGCAGGCGTCTTTGCGTACCCTCCCACCGCTCTGGAGGAGGCACCGGCTCTGACATGTGGGAGCATCTCAAGAATGCACAGCGGTTTTGACTTGTAGCAGTTAGCGGCCCACAACGCTTTGAGAGTGACTGTGGGAGCCCTGTGTTTTTGCATCAGCGCTCTGGAGCACCGCAGAGCTGCGCAAGGTCACGGCTCCACAGAGCTATCTTTAGCTTGATAAACGGGCTTCAGTAGATTAGACATAATGAAAATAAAGAGATACACACTGCGTTATCTGTCAGGGAAGGGGGAAGTGTGGGCTGAATTCTGCTGCATTATCTGAATTTCTGGCCTACTTTTTCTGCTGGTGAGATCAGCTCATATGTCCACTCATCCATCTGAAGTGGCCCAGTTTACTGGCTTGAGTGCATGATTTTAAATATTTGAGCAAAGATTATAGGAAAAGAGCTGCTCTGTGATGTGGGAAGGCTGTATATATTGGAGTGCTTTTCCCCTGTTGGTAATATTTGGGCTTCTGTGGACGATTTGCACCTCTGTGATGACAGCATTTCCACAGATTTGATGCAAACATGTACAGTTTTGACAGGCAGTTACAGGTGATTGACAAGCACATCCGTATAGGTGCTTCAGAAGGTATCAAGTACTCAAATAGATACAGAAGTATACGTGTTTGTGCTTAGAACAACACAGCAGCACAAATACAGCTAGTCAGTGAAGACTTTTGTGCTGGAGGATTGTTTAATAGTTCCTAGTAGTGATGGGAAGTTTGAATCATTTTACTGAATTGGACACTTGAGTCTTGTTCGGCAAGATGAACAAATCCTTTGTCGAGTCATTTGATTTAATTTACCAAAATATAATGAAATTGTTATGAGTGGCTTCCAAACTCCTCTGCAACTAGCCGAAATGTTGATCACGCTACTAACAAGTCATAACTAGAATGCTATAAGAGAAAATGTGTATTATTAGGCCAGCACACTTCTTCTGACATGTTTTAAAATTGTTAAAGTCGTTCGTTTGCGTCTCACAGACAGTCCCATATAAGATAAACCAATGCACACAGTCTGAGCCGATTCTTCGGGTTGTCTTCATTTGTTCATCACGTGACAGCATGTAAAGAGAGATGACTCAAACACACTGTACTTGAGGACTTCATCAAATCTTTTTCTGACTCTAATTGCATATGATTGGCTTCTGTCTTTTACGTGATGATCGAACAACTCAAACCTGATTGAATACTTGTGAATGAAGCTAATCTTCTACTCCACCTGCACAAATGAACAAATCAATCCTTGAGAGGATTCATCATTCTGGAGTGAATCTTTCAAGAACGATCCATCCCTAGTTCCTAGAACGGTGTAAGAGAATTTACCCGCAACCTGCACTAACCTACTTCTTACTATTATTCATTTGCAAGATGGTGGTGGAAGACAAGCACATATAGATATGAATATTATTCACAAACGTTCCTTACTACCCAGATGTAGGGCACTAATAAGGAGGGAGAAAGTTAGGATGATTCTCAGGGCCCATGGACTTTTAGGGCGCCCAGAGATACTATCTCTAATGGATATACTACATACTAATACCTGTGCTATTGGTTTTATCAGTTGTTATCTGAAAATAACACACCTGGAAATATTGTGATCACAATCAAGTATTCCAGAGAGCAGTTTAGCAATAGTGTACACACTTTAATAGTATTTTTATTATTTTATTACGCTTCATGAAAGTAGTTAACTTAAACATAAATGAACATGTCTTTGATAGTGCTTGAATTAAAATTGAAATGAATTTTGGTTACGGTGTTATTTCAACAATTGTTTTGTGCTGCTGTCAAATTGAAAAAACAAAAATTCTTGATTTAAAAATTTTACTTTTAAATCTTTGAGAAACCACATTTGATTGATTATTAGTATTGAATTCAACAGATTTTATGAAAGGTTTTCTTTTAAGCTGTTTAGGTCTAAATTTGGTAAAAATTACCCTGACATTTTTAATGTATTTATTAAACGTTAGTGAAATTTTAAGTACAGTAAGAACTTTCATGGCGCTACATACAGTGCTCAGCATAACCTGATTTTGAAAATATAAATATTTTTATCCATTCCTCATTAAATATAGGCAATGTATTTTGGTGCATATAAACAAAACAGATTTATTAAATGGATATATTTATTAAAATAATAATTTAGTCACCAAACATATTTAGAAATCGAAAGATAACACAATTAAATTCAAGCAAAATATTTATAAAAATACAAGAAACAGAATTTCAACAAAAGTTTAGTTTTTTTAAGTTAAATTTTTTTTCTCTTAATTTTTCCTATTTTTTTAATCACGCAAAAATTTATTTTAAATTTATTTTTTTTCAAACATACTGTGTAATATTGGGTGTACTAGTTTTTGGACCATTATCGTAAGGTTTTTTTGTTAGACAAGCACCAGATTCGGCGTCAGTCTGACTAATCTAATGTGTATGCACAAATATAATATTGTATAGCTTCCTATTAAAAATAAGAATTTAAAAGATAGATTTGTGAGGGGGTCTACTTATATGCTGAGCTCTGAATGCTGGTGTGTGAATTACACAGGTGATGATTTGAAATTAATGGTGCTTTAATAAGTCCTTGAAAGTGCTTGAATCTAGACCTGAAAACCCTGTATTTACGTCAGCACTAAAATAACTACCAGTACTTATGTTGATTGGCCCAAATATGCCTCATGAAGCACAAACACAGTATTTTAGAATTTAAGAAGACAGAAGTGAAAACTAATATCTGCAATGTTGTGTTTGTTTTTCATCCTCAAACAGTTGTCATGGGTGATTTCGTCCCTTAGCTTTTCTTTTTGCTTTTTCAGACACACAACTTCTGCATCAACATTCCATTTCCTTTATCATGACACCCACAAGCACACACAGGCACAACAACAAAATGAAAAACTTCCATCATGGGGTCTATCTCTATCTTTCATCCTGTTGACTTTGTTGTCCAGCATATGTTATTACTATCTTTTGAAAAAAATCGATTAGATCTTTGTATCAGGGTCTTCTTTTACAACTGCTTTTTATTTAGGTAATGCTTTTTAATGACTTAACCGAAGAAAAGATTTTACATTTCAGTGGAACTGCCACTGAAAACATTTCTGTTGAAAAAATTGACTTGGTATACCCTGGTTGGTGATTTATTTGCCACATACTGTACATTCTACTGTGCTTCTTCATTTGTATTCACTTCATATTTAATTAGAAACTAGAACTGAATCTTGTCATTCATTTGTGCATCCTTTTAAGTGAATGCTTCAAGTGTTTTTTAGAACACTGACTGCTTTGTTCCTCTGAGGTTTTGTCACATAACCTTTGCGGGATTGATTTTAATGAAGTGTCGCTCTTAATTTGCAGGTTTCACCACAGAGGGCCTTTATCGAGTGTGTGGAAACAAGACGGATCAAGACAATATTCAGAAACAATTCGACCAGGGTACGTACTGATTTATAACCGGGCTCTGTGGGAAATTAAGCTTAATTTGCAAGCTTTTGATAGCATGCTGCTAGGACAAGTTTAAAAGTAATTCACAAATCAGATAGAAGGAAGCCCTGATAAACTCCAAATGCACAAATTAACCCTTCAGACTGATTTCCCCACCTCACCTACTGGGTGGAAATCTTATCTTTTACATTCATTAGAGTTCTATTTAGGACTATCTGCTCAGCAGTGTTTAACAAAAACACTTGATAGAAACAGACTTCTTGTTTAGAGCATGTTGTAATGTGGTTTAATGTGCAATAAAATTATTTAGACCAGCCTGTAATATATTAGGTATACTAGCTACTTTATTAGCTAGTGCAAGGTTATTTTTACTTATATTTTTTAACTTAAGTTACAATGTCAACGTCAATTTTATTTATATAGCACTATTTAACACAACTAGAGGTTGACCAATGTGCTGCACAGTAAAATTGACAACAGAGAAAGAAAATATATAAAATTATAAAAAATAATAAAAATGATATAAGAAAAAAAAACAGACAATTTTCACTGATAAAATGCCAAATCAAAGAGGTAAGTTTTCAACCTGGATTTAAAAACAGAAAGGGATGAAAGACTTAATAAAGAGTGGCAGAGCATTCCACAACCCAGGACCAGCTACTGCAAAGGCACAGTAACCTCTGCATTTCAGCCTCGACTTAGGGATGCATAACAGTCTCTGGTTGGACGACCGAAGAGACCGACCAGGCTGATGCTCAATTAACAGGTCTGACAGATAAGAAGGTGCCGGGCCATTTAGAGATTTAAAAACCAAAAGTAGCATTTTAAAAGTGACACGATGCAGGCAGCCAGTGCAAAAAGTGTAAACTTGTGTAATGTGGTCATGTTTATTGGTACCTGTTAAAAGCCTTGCAGCAGCATTTTGAACTAATTGTAACCGGGATAAGGTTTTCTGACTAATCCCAATGTATAATGAATTACAATAGTCCAATCTAGTGGTAATAAAAGCATGGATTTTTTTTCACATTTTTTCTAGATAAAATAAATTTGACTATTTTTTGAAGTCGAAGCTGAAAGAAACAGAATTTGACTACTGCACTTATCTGTTTGTCAAAGCTCAAGCCATCATCCAGAATAACACCCAGAGTTTCCCCAGGGCTTCATAGAAAAACTTACATTTTCAAGATTAGCTATCGGTGCTCTGGAAGAGGCATTTCTACCCACATAATGGCTCACTGTATATTTCCCACCTTTATATGGGCCGTTTTCTGTTAATGTCAGAGATGGTTGTGCATGAAATTCCAGTATATCAGGACTTTCTGATATTTCAAGCAGCCTGTCTTTCACAAGCAAGTGTAGAACGTTTCATAAGTTACATAAATCAATTCTCTTTTTTCATTCTGATGATTAGTTTGACTTCTGGAGATCTTTACCACATCACATTAGAAATTCTGACATACGGCTCTGTGAAAAGTGACAATATTAAACAAGATTATTTGACATTAAATAAAGCAAACAATTGGTCCATGTTTAAAATTTCTGTACAAAGAGGTCATGTTTTGATTTTCTTTTGGTCTCATGCAAACAACTGATGCAATTTTGCAGGTCATAGTTCAACAAGCTTGAACTTTCCAACACAGCGAACTGCGAAACTTGCTGCATGAACTTGGATTTCCGGTCTGTCGCATTCACATGCCTATGAATGGAAGTCTATGGGGTGAAAAGTGCAGTGTGAATACGGCTTAAATGATTGAGTTATTGGCATGCAATTGGTTGAGCTAGGTATATGATTGAATTGGTAGTTAAACAGATAAATTTGTACCTAATAAAGTGGCCTATGAGCATGTAACATTTTCTTATCATTTCCAGCTTCTTATCCTCTTACTATCAAGACTTAAAGGGTCAGCGCTCAAGCTTTCAACAACATGAATGACGAGAAACAGGCCCTGAAATACACGATTACGATCTTTCACACTGTAAATGGACCATTCCTGTAAAAACAAACTTAACATTTGTGGCTTCTGACTGGCTTGCTGCCTGCAGGCCTCCATCAAGCTGTGATTCGCACTAGTTATTAGCTTATGCAGGACATTTTTAGCTTAATTCTCTCCGTGACACATGAAAGCGATCAGCTACATTCTCAATTTAAAGCTCAGAATTAAATTGTCACTACACTGATGATATATCGAGGCAGTTACAAGCTAGCAGTATGAGCAAAATCAGTCATTTCATGGTAACATTTCATATCACAATGTAGTTATTACTGCTGTGATTTCAATGAAACATGCTTTATATATTAAATAGCCATGACTCTCTTGGATTATGCAGTGCAATCGATCTTTTGCTTAATTTAATCTAATTTAAGGTTATCTTTTTATTTGGAATATGATGGACAGACACCAAATGACATGATTATTCTTAAAATATGAAATCTGGCATCTGTGGAAAAGCAGCTTTTAGGACATTATGTAACATTTAAGTAAAAGCAACATCCTCAAAACCATAATGCTGATCAAAAGCCCCAAAACCTCTTCCTCATTTTGATCTTTTTGCAATAAATTTTTTCATAACTTTTTAAAATATCATGGCTGTTTCTCCAGTACACCACTGGCTATTATGGTGAAATCCACTCTTGTTTTCATCCATCTCTTAAATCAAACACTAGTCATCTCTAACTGCTGAGCTGTGGAAAAATCTTCAGCCGAGTGACCAGATTATTCACTCAGTGAGCCATCGTTTGCCCAAAAGAGCCACTGTAGGCATCAGTCTGCCCGCTGGCCCGGAGCCATTAGTCTCCCTCTCTTTTTTTCCCCTCTCCATCCGCGCATAACTGTGAATCGGGTGCTTTTTCTTTTTTCTTGTGTTCATTCTGTGCTTTTGTGGAGAGATCTAGTCTGACAGCTGTCATTTCACCTTAAAACCCGGCTCTTACAGCCTCTCTTTATTTTCCTTTTTCTATAGTTTCCTTCCATTCTGCCTGGTAAATCTGTTTTAGTGGCTTTACCAACACTGACAAAGGCAAGTTGGATGCTCACACAAGCTCACACTCTTTTCCTTCCTCCCTCAGACCACAGTATTGACCTGATAGTAATGGATGTGGCTGTGAACGCCGTGGCTGGGGCTCTGAAGGCCTTCTTTGCTGATCTCCCGGACCCGCTCATACCATACTCTCTTCACCCAGAGCTCGTGGAAGCAGCCAGTGAGTATATCCACTCATTCACATTCTCCAGCACTTCCACTTTCAGCTGAGGTTTGCGGTAACAATTTTTGCTATTCTGGTTGTTGACTGTTGTGACTCAGAAATGACACACTTGACCTTTTGAATTGTCTTATTTTCTGAAATGTAAAGGCCTGTTTGTGCACAGACTAATTTAAGCTATTGACATGATTTTTTACACCAAAATTATTTTTGCAGAACATTGAAATTAGGTGACATTTTCAGATGACACTTACTGTATGTTCACACCGAAGGCAGCAAAAGTGTCAAAATTTGCTGCATTGATCTCGTATTTAAAGCAGCCGTTGCAGCAAATCAGCAAATCTGTTATAATCCCACATTAAAACATTTTTATAGTATGAAAATGTTGCACACTCTGTCAACTCATTTAACTTTGGAAGATCAAGTTGTGGTGTGTACTGTGGCTTTGCTCCACTTCCAACAATCCAACATGTGATATGTCGTTAACATGAGATTCCTGCTCTTTTTTTAATATATATATATATATATATATATATATATATATATATATATATATATATTAGGGATGTGCGGAGCAGCCGGTATTTGTATTTGCATTTGTATTTGTTGAGGGGGGAAAAGTATTTGTATTTGTATTTGTATTTGTATTCGAGTAAAATTCAAAATGGCACAAAAATATATATTTTTTCTATTACACTTCTAATTTACGTTATAGTGAAAGTATTGTTTAATTATACCCATTATATAAATTATAGATATGCAATATTGGCTGTTGTTTTTGAACATGTGATAAGAAATGTCATTGAAAAGAAAATAACATAGAAGCCATTATCTCATCCATGGTTAAACCAACAACTAATAAAATACCATTGTGAATATTATGAACCCCACCACCACCGTTCTTGTTGAAGGACACTGAATAGACAGAATAAAAACAAATAATACTTCAAAAAACTGTTCTTCTTTTGAAAGAACTTCTTTCCAATGGACAGAATTCCAAAAACTAATATTAACTAAATAAATCTAAATAAAACCCTGCCCGGGAGATCTGGCAGAACAAAAGTATTCTATATAATACTAAAAGATACAGCCCTGCTATTATCATCTGCCAGCCACAAAAAAGACACAAAGTTTGTTTGTTTGTTTTTTTTTATGTTTGAAACTGACTTGCTGGGGCAGAATGTGGCTGTGTTGATGCTTTTAGTGCATGTGATAATACATTACATAGAAGGTTGTGCGGTGCTCTGTTCAGTGAGAAGCGCTCTCTATGGCAAGCCTTTTTAGCATTTAAATCTTTGTTCTGACTAAATATATTACATAAATATATTAGAGATATCTCTAATTATATTTTGACCTGTCATAATTATAATTCCACTACTCAGAATGACAATTAGACATGTCTGCAATTACAATTGTACTAGTACGAAATCAGATGAATTTTGACTAGTAACAATTGTAATTGATATCTCTGAGTTTTTACTAGTCATAATACATTTAGAGATATCTTTAATTCATCATATTTAGAGATATTTACAAATATATTTGAAGATATCTCTAATTAATTTACTAAAAGTCTAATTACAGTTGTAGATATCTTGAATTGGATTTTTGACTAGTCAAAATTCATTTGGAGATATATCTAATTACAATTGTGACTAGTCAACTTATTTAGAGATATCTGCAAATATTTTTCAATGGAAGTCAATGGAGGAATATGACTAGTCTATCATAATATATTTGCAGATATTTCCAATCTGACTAGTCGAATTATAATTATGACAAGTCAAAATATAATTAGAGATATCTCTAAATATATTTATGGATAGTCTGAACAAGGTTTAAATGCTAAAACGGCTTGCCATACGCTTTCACCCAGTAGCACAGTGGAGAGTTCTCTAGTTATATCCTTTCAGTCGTTTGTTATGCAGTGACATGCAGTCAAATATTTCGCCAAACAGTCCTTAGGGATGCGGTGACACGCAGTCAGATATTTTACCGGACAGATCCGCCACTTTTGGCGCGCATAAACAATCATAAAGCTCTCGTGCTGCAGGAATGAGGAGGTCTGCTGAAGGCGCGCAGCTGACGTGCAGTGAGGAGTTTACGTCTTTGATAAACTACGGCAGTTTGCGATCACTGAACAGTAAGAATGATTAATAAATCCATATGAAACAACCCCTTAAAAGTCACGTCTCGCTTTCAGTTTCGGGCTTTGGCGCGTTTTGCCTCTCTCTCTCTCTCTCTCTCTCTCTCTCTCTCTCTCTCTCTTTCTCTCTCTCACTCTCTCTCACTCACTCACGCGGGCATGCACTGTGGTCTCATGAGGAAACGCTGCTTTTTGATATAGTGTTTTTCTTGCTCCCGAATACAAATAATTTTTCAAGTATTTGTTTGAATCAAGTATTCGTAAAAACACGCTATTCGTGCCTTTCCGAATACCGTATTCGGGTTCGGCTCCACCCTTAATATATATATAAACATTAATGCACATCAACTCGCCAGTAACTTTTTCCTGTAAGAAAACATTGTAAGTAGGCATGGGCCGGTATAAGATTTTGATGGTGTGATAACCTCGGATAAAAATATCACAGTATTGTGATCACTGCTCTAAAATATATTCTTCTTAAATGTCTGGGTAAAAAACTAAAATCTGTTTCTCCCATTCAACAAAATATATTTTATTTTGAGAAAGATATTATATATTTTGGAGCAGTAAACATGTCAGGTTAAATAATTCAAATGAATCATTGACTTCTGCTGTCTTTATTAGTTTTACAAAAACACAGATTTCTTTACATTTTGAAATGGCATCTTTGGAGATTTTTTTCTGCTGGAGATTCTATTATCCTAAAAAACAAAAAAACTAAGTGAAGTTTTTAAACTAATTTCGAGAGGAGCACATGATATAATTGACTGCAGCTGGCCACCTATCTACACTCATTAGTTAGTCAATCAGATCTGTCCTAACTCACTATAAGTAGCCTAGCTAGATATTACTCCCTTATCTTCGTTTTCCGAAGAAACCCCCCATCCACCCCCTTTCTCCTCCTTTTCTCCTTTACAAAAAATGGGAGCTCTAGAGAACCACCTGATCTCGTACTCCCCTCACATGCTCAATGGACCTGGTGGGAGCCCTGGGCTCAACTATCTCCGAGCTCAGGGTTCTCTCCCGGGACATCATGCCAAACCTGCTTACAGTTGTCAAGCAATATCTAAGTGTGAACTCTTGAAATGTAAATAAAACAATCTTACACATACCTTGGGAGCGGTATTACAGAACATTTTGGCGGTTTTAAAATCTTGACTTTTCCAAACTGCGGTATAACATGAAAACGGTTATCGTCAAGTGGTGAACTTCAACATTTCGATTGCTTGCCGCCGGACCGAGTCATAGCTCATTATCATAAAGTTTACTTGATTTCAACTCTCCTCGAAGGCACCCCACTAATAAAGATGTTCTGCTCCTCGCCGCTTATCTCACATTGAAAATAAATGACTTCGGGATATTTTGACACTTGCTGCTTTCGGTGTGAAAGCAGTTAGGGTGCTTATGGTCATCCTTTTGTTAGCTAGCCTTTGTAAAACCATTGTTTTTGGCAGGATGACTCCTCTTCAAGGGTAGAGCAATAATCGAAGGTGGTTGTTATGCACATTTTGTCAATAAAGGCGGTTCTAGTAAACCTCCAGCATATGTGCTCAGATAGAGCAGCATTTACTACGTTGAGCCGTAGTTCCCTAATAAGCTTAAAGCTGCACAAATTCGAGATCAAAATACAAATTGATTTAATCGGAATGATTGTGAAATAGAGATAAGAGTTCTGTGAAGGCCATCTGGCCTACAGAGGACATTTGTAACTGATCACAGAGCAGTGTTCCTCTGCATGATAATTGCATCTTTTTTCATTTTAATTAGTCGCCTAGCAATTTTGCTAATACTTGTGTCATTCCTTAAAACTTTAGCATGGCATATGAGACATGTCTCTGTTTTTCTGGCTTTTTGGTCCTGTTGGAAACACTGCTAGTGCATTTTCATTTCTCCATTGCTGAAGAAGACTTCATTTCTGTATTGCGTATTTAAGGGAAGCTAACAGGAATAACTATATCTCATTTTAAAAAATGGTAACAGATCAGTTAAGTAGTCAAAGATTCCTATGCCAGATTTAAAATATTTTATACTTTAAATTAAACAAAGAAATATAAACAAAGGTAGAATGAACAACATTGATTTGTTAATACTTATTTATTGCATGATATGCATGATATTGGAAAAACTACAATTTTTGTCACTGCGATATAAATACAATTTCACCAGCTGGCTTAAACAGCTCTATTTGCTAAGTAATTGCTTTAAATTGATTGGGATGATTTTGAAGGTGAGGGAAATATAAATATCTTTTTATTATTTTATTATTAATTTATAATAGATATATAAAAAACAAACTAGGTAAACACAATGGAACAAATATTAAAGTAAAATAAACTGTGTTTTATGGCTTTTCTGGTAAGATTCTAAGAGTAGTCAGGTAAAGAAAGGAAATAATCAAATGTAAAATAACACTGCATAGTCTTCTTTAAATAAGTCATTCAATAAAATTAATATTTATTAAACTTTTTATGCACAACTAAATTGCTTTGAACTCTCTTAAATTGCTTGGACAGTCACAGGCCTTAAAACACATGCAGACGATAAACTTTCACTCTGATTTGGTTTAGTTCTGCAGTGTCCTGTGGTTTCTGGTCTTCTGTTATCCCAACTCAACATTGCATATCTTGCGATGTGACTATTGTGAATGCACACACTGCGATATCGATGCTCAATTGATTTATTGTGCAGCCCTATCTAAAACAGTCTTGTAATGATGTGGAGAGCCCCCCCTTCATGATGGTGAAGTGGTTTGGATGTATGTCCATGCATGGTTTATGTACTATATAGATACACGTTACATTACATTATTACACACACTTAATAATAACCCATTTTTATTGCCATCAGGTTAGTTCAGTGCACTGTACACATTTCATCGCATAAAGTAAACCTTAAGTGTATTTCAGGCTCAAGTTGTAGCCTCAGCCTCTCATTCATCCTTCACATGCAGCAGGTGTGTGGCAGCGTGTCAAGGTGAAATAAGGCAGCTTTAGTGATACAGCATTCATCCATAACATCAGCGCAGACTACAGGAAAGACAGGAAGTGTGTCTTCAACAACTATGAGAACAAGTCCAGACCTGCTCGTGTTACTTCACCGCTTAAACAGCCTACAACTCAAGTTTTTCTTTTTTCTATCCCAGCCGGTTTCTGCTTTCAACTGCGTTCAATATTAATCCCATCACCACACATTCTAATCCCAGCCCAAGGTAGCTGAGAAGTCATTTAAATGCATCTGCATTTCCGTTTGATGCTTCCGAGCGTGAATCTAATCCAGGGTCCCTTGTGATGTCCTCCTCATTACTTCTCATCCACACAGTTGTAGATAAATGACATTTAAGTGCTGGGAATCTGTTCTCTATGTACATGCTGATATTCAGCTTTATCTTTTCCCTTCCCTCTGGTCCTCGGCTGGGCAATTGTAGCTGATTGCATCTTATACATCGTACAGCTCTTTTTTTTATCAGATGAATGCAAAATTTCTTAATTGACTTTCTGTTGAAAGTGTTCGTTTTGTGCTGACTAGTTTTATATGTTCAGTCCTTGTTGAATATTTTTTTTTTCAAATGTTATATTTTTCTGTAATTTGTCATGTTTTAAATTGAGGAATCGCTTCTATTTTAAAGCAGATGTTAGAATGTACAAACTGGCCAACAATAGCAATGAAAAAAATAAACAAGTCTTCTATTTGAATTTGCTTTAAAAAGTACTTTAACTGAATAAAATGCTGCTAATCTTAACGGACTGATCACACAAAATGTTTTTGCGTGAAAAAAAGGCAGTCAAATTATATTTTATGCATGCAATGCTGCTAAAGATGTGAGAAAAATGGATGTTTACATAGAAAAAAACCATTGAGAAATTAGAGCAGTGTCATGCAAAGTTTTAAAGAACTACTTTAAATAAAATACTGAGTTATTACTGATAATTCACATGCACTGCACAAATGTTCATATTTAGAATATCTTTTCAAAAGAAAGACACCCAAAATATTAAAGTAAATTTTGAACACACAATTATTTTTAATTCTTAATTCTCTTCAAACTCTTTTGTGGAGTTTGTGCACATTTTTGAAGACATGATAATTGAAGATAATGTGTCGAGGGAAAAAGTCAGGAGAAGTCTACAAGCCGCGATTTGAAGTTGGGATGCCCACAACACTGTAGTGTGCTATGTTTCTGCACACTAACCACTAGGCTATCTGCACCAACTAAATACAGATGATCTTAAATCCATCAACTATTTAATAAGCACTGACTTAATATTTTGCATATTAATTATTGCACACTTTTGTGTTTTAAAAGAAATGCTAAAAGTAAAGGATTTTGAAAACCTGAAAGGATTTTCATTTTTAGATTTGCTTAAGATTATATTTAACACAGTAAATTGTTATTTATAAAGAGTAACTTTGATTCTGCATAACGTTATGCAATTGTAAATAAATAAAATGAGAATTGATTATGTTCAAATATCTAACAACTAGTAGGAAACTGATACATAGTGTGTCACTCTTTTACAAATAACAAATTACACTAAAATCTGGTCTTTAATTTATTTAGTTTTTATTACAAAAGAAAACGATACAGTAAGATCTTGTATCATCTGGAAAATGTACATAAATGGAGATGTTCTCAGTTTTCTGTTTAATTAATTTATTAAATGTGTCTTTCAACAGAAATTGTAGATCATTACGAGAGACTGCAGGTGCTGAAGGAAATCGTCAGAAAATTTCCTCCTGTGAATTATGAAGTTTTCAAATATGTCATCACTCACCTCAACAGGTAAAGCTTTGGTTTCCTGCTCTTTAGTAAAACATTTAAATGTAACTTTACCTATTACAGGGTTCATACAGTCATGAGAAACCTAAAAAAGTCATGGAATTTTGACATGGCATTTTCCAGGCCTGGAAAAGTTTTGGAAAAACAGAAAAACCCACAAAGTTTTGGAAAAGTCATGGAAAACAGATATCTGTATTCTTGAATATTGTTAGTTTTCTTGACTTCTATTTTGTTCTTGGCCAATCACATACTCTCACATTATTAGTGCGGTGTAAGCATTATATATATATATATCAATTTTACATAGATATAAATGTAATTGAGAGCGACACAGAGGCGCAATAGGTAGTGCTGTCGCCTCACAGCAAGAAGGTTGCTGGGTCGCTGGTTCGAACCTCGGCTCAGTGGGCCTTTCTGTGTGGAAGCTTGCATGTTCTCCCTGTGTTTGCGTGGGTTTCCTCCGGGTGCTCTGGTTTCCCCCACAGTCCAAAGACATGCGGTACAGGTGAATTGGGTAGGCTAAATTGTCCGTATTGTATGTGTGTGTGTGTGTTTGTGTGGATGTTTCCCAGAGATGGGTTGCGGCTGGAAGGGCATCCGCTGCGTAAAAATAGTGCTGGATAAGTTGGTGGTTCATTCTGCTGTGTCGACCCCTGATTAATAAAGGGACTAAGCCGACAAGAAAATGAATGAATTAATGAAAATATGTAATTGAAACTAAATAAATTGCTGTGTGTTTTACAAGATGCTGTAATACATTTGAACATGCATTTCTTGTGAAATTCCCAATAAGTTTGATGTGTCAAATGACCCTCTTCCTATTGAAAAAACAAAAGTTGGATCCAAGATGGCCGACTTCAAAATGGCCACCATGGTCACCACCCATCTTGAAAAGTTTGACCCTTCACATATACTAATGTGCCACAAACAGGACTTTAATCACCAACCATTCCCATTTTATTAAGGTGTATCCATATAAATGGCCCACCCTGTGTATTTATATAATACATCATGTAAATACTGATTCTGCAGATAAAGGATCTAAATGTATACTGGTGAAATACCTCAATTGTAAATGAATGTTTGTTTATGTTCTTCCTCCTTCAGGGTTAGTCAGCATAGCAAGACCACATTGATGACCGCCGACAATCTCTCCATCTGTTTCTGGCCGACGCTCATGAGGCCTGATTTCGAGAACAAGGACACGCTGTCCACCACCAAACTCAACCAGTCGGTCATCGAGAGCTTCATCCAGCAGTGCCAGTATTTCTTCTATGGCGGAGACATGACCGAACCGTCCAGTGCTGAGGGCACACCTCCACCCCACGGCCACGGCCTGGAGTCTTTGCTGGCCCTACAGCTCCCGCCACCCCTCCAACCACAGCAGATCCAGCACCCGCTGCCCCCGGAACCCCTCATATAGACCTCCTCATCACATTCGGCTGATTGCAAAATGCTTGTACAAGTATGTGTGGGTGTGTATGTGTGCGTATGTGTGCGTGTGTGTGTGCGCAAGCCTCGAAAAATAAGAAATGAAACTTTTTTTTTTTGTACAAAGAAAAATATGAAACATTTCCCCCACCCCCGTTTTTTTTGTGGCCCGGCCTGACTGAATGAGAGTGAATCAAAACTGTAAAATCAAATTGTAAAGAAGATGTCAATGTAAATTTGACATCGTAAATGTGACAAACATCGAAAACATAAGATTTATTTATAATTTTTTTGTTTTGTTTCAAAAGACAATGAAGTCAATCATTTACTATGAAAATACACACACATGCACAGCTTGACATGATGGCAAATTGTGCCCCCCCCTTTTTTTTGGCTTGTGTTTGTCCCTGTTTTAATTTCCAATGGACAAAAGATCTATTTTTTTGAATATTTTTATCTTAAAGACAGCAGTCGTCGTTAGGGTGGTGGTGTCCCAAGGAGTTTGGGATTGGACTAATATGAGTTTATAAAATCAGGGGCGCCTGCATAGGATGCACTTTGTCCTACAGATGTTGAACCGGGAGCCCCTCGTACTCTGGAAACCACAGAAAGGGAAACAGGCCCACTGCAACCGTTTGGCACATCTCAGAGATCCAGGCTTCAGAAGATGCCCGGTTTTCTCCATCTCGTTTCATGTTCGTTTGTTTCGTTCCGTATACCACCTTTGAAAGTTTTATTGTTGTCAATTAATTTTTTGGACTGAATTTGCATGTTCTTTGCCACTTGTAATAACCGAAAGAGTAAACGCGGAGGAAAAGCATAAATGCTTAAATGTTTTTATTTTTATTTTATTTTTTTTATGAACGACTTTTTGATTACCTTTTTTTTTATCTAACTTGTTTGAGGGAACATTAAACTGGGGTAAAATTGTTATATTTGTTCGTTTGTCATGCCATAGTTCGACTTTTAATATCATATTTTGGCTTTAATTGTTTCCCTAAAATAGGAAAATATAAATATCTCTATATATACAATATATATATAAATAAATATATATAAATGTCAGCATCATTGGATGGCTGATGAAACAAATCACGGGGTACTGGAGCTCTGTATAATCTTGTAAAACCTATAATCAGATTTCTTTGTGGTATGATGTATTAAAATTTGGGGTTAGATCCATTGACTGTACTTAATTCCCTATATGAATACAACTTCTTTTGTTTTCTGTTTGTTTGTTTTTTTAGTTTTTTTAATTAGATGGTACTGAATTTTGTTCCACAGTAACAGATGCTGTTTAGAAAGCTTGCAGTCTTCGTGTGGAATACAGCACAACTCCGAGAGGTTTTAGTTGTGATGCAGGAGTTTGTGTGTGAATGGATGGGAACAAAAAAAAAAAAAGACAAGATTTATCTCAATTGACTCACTAAAACGGAGGAAAGGGCTCAATAGGGTAAGTGTGCAGCTGCTAGGATCCCATTTAGAGTAGTTAAAAAAAAGAGCAACATTATGTTCATATGACTGCCTCATATGATGTACAAACTAAATATTTTAACATCATCTGCTATGTATTATAGTAAATAAATGATTTTGACAAATGATGTTTGCCTGATGTTTTTTTAGTCGTGTGAGTCGTCAGATTATCTAAAGACCCTACCAGTGGTTTGGTTTGTTTAAAATGTCTCCTTGCAATCAGGGTTGCCAGATTTGCGGGTTTCTGCACTGCACTTAGTCTTTTTTTTTTTTTTTTTACTTTTGAGCTCACAACATCTGCCCTGCCATTAAATGTTTATCACAGTTATTGTTTTTTTTTATCTCTGTGGAAATGAATGCCATTTTTACTTTAGGAACCAAAAATGTTGGCTTAAATTATTTTTTTTTAACATATTGAAATGAGAATTCATTTGTTGTTGTTTTCAATGATCAACTCACCTCCACAACAAATTTATCAGTGTTAAATTCTTGGCGTTAAAGCATTTCAGAGTAAAGTGTTGACATTATACTGTTCATTTTGATTTATTAAAACAATCAAAGTTTGAAGCTGATTTCATTGAGTGTAAAATCAACTTTCGCCTCACAGCAAGAAGGTTGCTGGTTCAAGCCTCGGCTGGGTCAGTTGGCGTTTCTGTGTGGAGTATGCATGTTCTTCCCGTGTTTTCCCCCTTCGGGTGCTCCGGTTTCCCCCACAAGTTTGTGAATGAGTGTGTGTGGATGTTTCCCAGTGATGGGTTGTGGCTGGAAGAGCATCCGCTGTGTGCAACATATGTTAGAGTTATATTAGAATAACACTGCTATTTTTGCAGTGTACTCAGTAGACCTGTGTCTCATAGATACTATTGTACTCACCAAAAATCCTGGCTAATAACAAGTAATGTTTAATTGTTAATGAAAACTCCTATGCTTACCTGCAATTATTCATTACAAAGATTGCAATGAAAATTAAAGCATCATTGATAAGAGATGAAAAGTGGCGGGGCAGTTTTACAGTTGTAAAGTTTTTCTTTCAATCATTTATCAGTGACTACTAAGTAGGGTTGCCTATTATCATTACTAAGCAAAAGTATTTTAGTATCAGGTTAATGTAAATGATTAAATATTTTCAGTTTGATATAAAAAATATAGCTTTTTTGTGAATTAAAACTAGCTAAAATGCAGGTATAAAGGTTAAACAGTAAAATATTGATTTAGATCAACACCATGCACAGATTCGACACTGTTGAGCAATGCATTAACATCCCACACAAAATTCTCTGTATTAAACTTTTTTTTTTAAACTATTTGCCATTTTAAAATTTCCATCATTTTGAAGCCAAACGGTCAAGCATAGAAGGGCCTTTGGTAAAATACATGGCCGATTAAAAAAATATTTTAATATAACAATTTTTTACTAACCTTTTTAAAATGTTTGGACAACACTAGAACATTTTAGAAAGATAAACCAATTCTACTTGTAAATCGAGGACTTGGCAATGGTGCCTGATATTTTTGGCTTCACAGAGCAGTGAATGAGGACCGCCATCTTCTGGTCAAGATACGAACTCTCACAACTCTGCGTTTCATTTGATTTATTTATTTGGCACAATCCCTAAGTGTTCGTTACTTCACTTGTAGCGAATTTGCTAACATATCTGGCGTCAGAACATCGAGTAAAGCTGATGTATGAGCGAATATTCAACATTTCACTTGCTCTTGGAGTCTCGGTGTGGCTGAAAGGTGAGAATTGGAAACGGCCACATAACATTACAAATGAAAGGAATTTTTTTGCCCTCCTACACATTTGATTGTTCAACTCATTTTGTGCTGTGCGTAGATAACAAGTCACATAATGTTAGTTATTCTTGGCTGAAGTTGGAGGTCTTGTGAAATATGAAGCTTGCAAATCCCATGAAAGTCGGCTTTGTGTGCCAGTTAAGAGGTTAACTGCATGACATAGGGGCCTAATAATTTAACAGACAAAGAACAAGTCTGAAACTTTAATTGAGGCTTAGCTAATATATTAGTCCAATATAACAACAAACATAACATGTTTTGTGAATAAAAACTACATTTAAATGATTGTGAAAGATAAAAATGCTAATTTAAAGTTTTATTTAGGTATATTGATAATTATTTTGTGTATTAATAAGTGTGTGTAAGTATTTTGTGAGCACAGGGACCAACACTGTTACATGACAAGCCACTTATTTTCATTAGCCAGTATTTTAAATAAGCTACTGGTTTTTATTCCATCCAGTAGAACATTTGTTAGCTACAAATAATTTAGGTATTAGTGAATGTTTAAGAACACACCAGCCTACTTCCTATTCATTATGTACTCATTCTGATTTAATATTCTAATACCTGTAAAAAGGGATTAGTAAACCCACTGTTACCTGAAACAGTTAAGTTGACTTCATTTGTATAATTATGCAAATAGTAAATTTAGGCCTACTTAATAATTTTAAGGCAAAGAGTTTACTCAACTAATCACTTTTAACTATGTATTAACTAACTAGACACCAGTACTTAACATTTATTAATTTAGCAGATGATGTTATCCAAGGTGACTTACAAATGAGGATACAAGTTAATTATCATTAGATACACAGGTTATTATTTAGTTAGTAAGAATTTTTAAATCTAACTTTCCAGCATGTTCTGACTAGTCATAATTGAAAAAGCTGTTATACCTAAGATAAGAATTGTTATATTAATTATTACAAATATATACTACTATCTAGGGCTGCACGATATTGGAAAAATTGGACATTGTGATGTTTTGATTTGCTGCGATATATATTGCGATACACTTTCACCAGATAGCTTGATTGGCACTTTTTTTTTTTTTTTTTAGAAAGAATGAATTAATTTAGACTTATTTGGGATTGCTCTGGAAGATTATTAGCAAGACAGAAGTGAAATATTTTATATCAAATTATACAGGTACAGAATAATCAAATGTCCAACTACTGTAACAACACTGACTCTACAATAAGATGTAGTTATTTATACAATCAAACACTGTATATGCTTATTTGTATAAGTAATTCGATAAATAAATTTGAGCAATTCCCTGCAAATGTCAACCTTGCCATGAAAAGTTTTCACCAAGTTTTCACCAAAATATGGAAACCGTTTCTGGATTTTTTTTTCAGTACTTTAAAAATACTCAAAAATGTATCTGTCAATGTTTTTGAACTATTCTACTTGATTTACCAAAGTCACACAAATGGCAATTTCACATCTGTCACATCCATAAAAGAGACATCACATCTATAACAACACCTTTTCTTCATAAATTTGAAAATATTAAATAAATTAAAATCACTTTTGTTTTATACAGAGCTGACTCATATCCTTTTGATTATCATTGTTTCTTTTGGGCTGTGCAGTTTAATTCACAGAATTTCTACAAAGTATGTTGTATACTGTAAACCCGCAGACACGGGGGTCACGAAACACCAAAACACATTTTTTGAGCTATTGACAGTCGTATATGTGTCCCACACTGCTAAAAACACTATTAGGACACCTATATTTCACTAAAAAGTGTAAATTGGTTGTTTTTGCGTTATTTCAAGCAAATTCGTACTTCCTGTTTGAAACGAATTTTTGAAGCTGCGTCACGGTCATGACATAATAGCGTTGTATTCCAGCGTGCAGACTGGACGTCTGTGCCAGAGTGTGCCTTATTACGTCTTACAGTGTGTTGCATTAATGCATGAGTAAGCCTTGGTTCAAACCAATCAGCGCGCTCTATTGTGCAACTTCATTAATATTCATTAGTGTCACCGTCTTTACACCACAGAGACGCCACGTTGTGTTGGCAAAACAAGCGTGAAGTGTGGCTTTTAAATTTTGCTGCAGTTAAGTTTCGTTTTCATTTTCTCTCTGTGAGAGCTCAGACTCACGTGTGGATTAACAGTGTACGCGACGCGCGACAACAATAACTTACGTGTCTAAGGGGGATTATTGTTTACCTGAGAGCTGTTCTCATCTGCTAACGCTGAGATCCGGATTCCGGATGTAGTCTTCTCTTCAGACGCGGCTCTAGTTGCTGGTGATTGTTCTGTCTCTACAGATTTGGTAAGTGAGCGACCAGTGCTCTTTGTTTATTCAGTTTGTTCGTTTCGAATTAAGTTAACTATTGCACTGAGGGCAAACATGTTAGCACCGCATTTTGTGACCGGAATAACACACGCGGTTTTCTGACGTTACCTGCCGTGTGCGTCTAAGTTTCCGGGAAATGCGGAGTTTTTTTTCTGTCATTCGCCGTGCGGTATCAAACATTGCATGAAAAATACACGCTTAGAGCAGATCCTCGAATCAAATATCGCGTTTGTCGCGAGGGACATGAATGAATTCCCTGAATGAAAGAGCCAAACTGCAGTTAAAGTCCACCAGTTAATAATTTGGCAAATAATTCCACTACAGATGTTCATGTAGGTTAAACACCATCTCTTTCTCCTGTGTGTGTATTTTGACTGAAACTCGCGCGTGCCCAAATAGACACTCCCACACCCTCCCACTTTAGTTCCTCCGACACTCCCCCCTAAACAGAGCTGGACACCCCCACTTTTCTGACTTTTTCCAAAGTGGAGGTGTGAAAACACCCTGCTGAAACGAGGGGGTTTCATGGCCCTTTAACGCATGTTAATTTCCTCATTTAAAGTATAAAACATGTTTACAGATTGATATTTTTTCTGGTCCCTTAACTCTGTGGTCAGTTGTTCTGGAAAATATAAACTGATGTTTCGATATAATGTTAACATATACTTTCTATGCAAATTTATGTTTTAAGTTTTTACTGCAAATGTCACATCCATAACGCTGGAATTGCTCATCTTTATTCGTTACAAACAGTTCAATTGTGCCTGAATACTTTAAAGTATCACCGGCCTTAAAAGCATCTGCAAATGATAAACTTTCACTTCATTATGCTTAACCTCTTCGGTGACTCCAAAAAATCTTCTGATCTGCTCTCCTGCTTAACTATAATCCCAACATATAAACTCAGGATAGCACTTCCTGCAATGTCCACATTGCGATATCGATGCTGAAACAATATATTGTGCAGCCCTACTACTATCTATCACGTAATAATTCCTGGATAAATGCTGGTATGTAATAAAAATAAACATTTCTTCTTAATATGTAAGAGTATCTAATAGATAAGTACTAGCATCTAATGAATAAGTGCTCATATTATCAGTTTATCCTAATAATAAAAATAGTCTGTAATTCTTTAAATGATTCTTTTTCCCAAAATAAAAAAATGTTCAATCTGACCAAAATTCAATTAAAGGGTGACTTCAACTTAACTTTTTAATGGCTTTAAAAAAACTTGTATTGTAGTGCAAAGTTCATGTGGACCACTTTCATTTCATGTTTATGATGTTTTGTTCTTTATTGACCTTTCAGCGTATGGAAAAGAGCAGCGTGAACCCTTCTCAAAATATCTCCTTTTGTGTTCCACAGAACGACAACCTGAAGGTGTCAATGATGATAGAATGGGCATATAATCCACCAAAGAGTGCTTAAAAATTCAATACATGCTTGTTCAAACAGTGCTACTACTCACAATTAGGACTTTACTTCATATTTGTAAACACGGTGGCAGATTTATGACAGAAGGCGATGGGAACGTTAATGCTCGCAGGTGCTTGCTGCAATACTGCGACAGCCTGCCAACCGCAGACTGCACTTGTAAAACACGAGAGACTTCAATTCAATTCTGATGGGAGCGATGTTAATCACTCACAGCTGCTCGATCGCATGTTTGACCTACAGCTGACTAAACCGACAATAAAAATGACAATCACATCATTGCAATTTCCCCATTACAATGGCACAGTGCCACATTTGGATTTATTTCGTTATCAGCTTGGAAAACATCTGCAAAGAGAGGGCAGAAGGCAATATGGCAGAAGGATTGACACTTAATTAGTTGAGTTCTTCAGAGGAAATCACTGCAAATTGACTGTTTAATCATCAATAGTAATTATTTGTTGGGAAAAACTCCAGAGATATATATATATATATATATATATATATATATATATATATATATATATATGATGTATGATTTATCATTTAAAGTGGAATTTATTCCCTTCCAAGTCTTTTCTATGTATTAGTATAATAAAAATCACAATTTTAAGCTGTAAAAGACTGGCTGCCAGCTGTCCAAACATGCCCATGTCAGATTTTAATGTAGCATTTCTCCACGTCAGTCACATTGTTCAGTATATCGCTAACAGATCTGTGATGGAAACCAAGGGTGGCGGTGTTTTTTTGGCCTTACATGTAGACGGATGCCAAAGTCAGAAACATTGAAAGCAGACGGCCAATGCAACATGATACAGCTGATAAAACGTCTCTGTCAGTGTACTCTCGTTCACACTCATGCAAACATTCGTTATTTGATTTGGCCTACAGAGAACTGGGGAAATATAATTAATGAAAAGTCAGACATTATTGGCCTTTGTCCAAATAAATGCATCAGATCCTGAGGTAAAACCTGGGGTTCTTTGGGTGAGAAAGGCCAATATTTGAACCATCCTACTCAAATTGTTCTCTATGCACAAAAATATGCATGAATCACATAAGAACACGTGGTGGTTATATTTCATTACACATATGTACTCGCATACATTCAGTGCTTAGCATTTATAAGTTACACCCATCACAAATCTGTCTTTTAAATTCTTATTTTAAATAGGAAGCTCAATACAATAATATATGTGTGCATATACATTAGAGTAGTCTGTAATGAAGCCAATCTAGAGCTTATCTAACAAAATAAGTTACGATAACGGTGCCAAAACTAGTGTATCCAAATGTATGTTATAGAAAAGTATTAAATACAAATAAAAAAGTGGAAAAATCAAAAGAAGCAAAAAAAAAAAAAAAAAAGATGGAAAATTTGTAGGTTGTAATCTTTTTTGCAATATTATAGTTGAATTTAATTGTTTTATCTTTAAATTTCTAAATATGTTTGGCAACTAAAATAATATTTTAATAATATATGTTGAATAAATCTGTCTTGTTTAAATGCACCAAAATACATTGCCTATATTTACTGACGGATGAATAAAAATATTCATTTTTAAAATGGGGTGTACTCAATTATGCTGAGCACTGTACTTGAACCACTATAATAAAAAAAAAAAAACTTGAATTTTACTCTGGATTTACTAGCTTTGTGTTTGCGTAAGTCAATTTGTCTAACAACAATTATTCCAAATTTTAAATAACAAGGGTGTAATTTGAAACATCCTCCCAAAAAAATTGACAAATGGTCTCAATAATATAACGTTTTCTTTTGTTGTGAGTGAAAATCTGGGTCATTCCACTTAATATTGCTTTGCTAACTGTTCTAACTGTTGTGTTAAATCATTGGTATAAAAAATGAACAATGTCTCAAACATTTTATCATTTTTATTTTTTTAAAATTTATATATGGAAAATAAAGAGAAACTGAGAATTTCCAAGTGGTTTCTTAATATTTATAAACAGTCAGAAGGTTTTTTATGTTAACTAAACTGATGCAGTTGATTTATAGTGAAGGCTTTTCATATATATATATATATATATATATATATATATATATATATATATATATATATATATATATATATATACGCTTAAAAGTTTGGGATCAGTATGATTTTTAAATGTTTTAAAGTACGTTGGTCCTGCTCACCAAGGCTGCATTTATTAATTCAAAAATACAGTAGAAATTGTAAAATTGTGAATCGTTGTAGCACTATAAAATAACTGTTTAAAAGTAGTTTATATTTGAATTTAATCAATATGAATGGATTTTTTTAATGAATTTTCATTTTCAGAGTCACATGATCCTTCAGAAATCACTCTAAAATAATTATTGTCGTTGTTATTATTATTAATAATGGTAATAGTAATAAAAGCAAGAATGACTGGAGTAATAAGTTCATCTGAAACTACATACAACAAGAAAGCAGTTATTAAAAAAATGTATAAATATTTAACAAGTAAAAAAATAATAATTCAATAAATTTAATAAATGTCGCCTCAATGAACAGAGTAATTTTCTTAAAAAAAAAAAATGGACCCCAACTTTTGACCGGTAGTGTATATATTAATATTGTTATTTTATTTAACAAATTTTTAAATGCAATAGTTATTGTGAAAATGACCCAGACGTGTTTTTCCGAGATTCACACACAATCTTTAGAGGGAAAAATCTATTTTGTCATTCAGGTTTTCCCAGAGCGCTGTCATGCCTTTAAATTAGATGTAGCAAAATATCCACTGACACACGACAAAACTGTTCTTCTACCTTCGGAGATCTGCTGCAAATGGCTGAAATCTTTATTTCACATTATCATGGTGCGCTAAACTGATCCACCGCTGCATTGCTTTGAGTAAAGAGACTCCTGTCACGTCTCCTCAACTAATGAACTGAGAGGCAAGTGGACAAGATGATAAAAGAAAGCAACAGTCCCGGTACTGTAAAAGAATCCTGAGATCAATGATGCTGCATCGTGACCCTTGACATTTACAGTTTATGATCCAAACCACAAAATCTGTAAATTCAGTTAAAGCTCAATGGTGAAGTCTGAAGTGCAGCAGAAAATATTAGAATCATCGGTTCAATCAAAAAGAGCAAAATAAAACAAACGTGGTTGATTTAAGCCATTGAAAGTAGTGATCTACAGTACGTCATAAAAAAATACAAGCACCCCTTATTAAAGTAACTTATATAATCATTGACCAATTAAATGACCCAATTGTTTTATGAATAGGCCATTATATTACTCAAATCAAACTGATAAAACCAAAAATAAAATACATTTTCTAGAACAAGAACTCTTCAAGTGTCAGCCATGTGCAGTCCCAAGCACTTATTATAATCGCAAAAAAGGTTCTTGTCCATTCAGATATATGAAGCCAGACAATGGAGTAAGCTCACACAGAGAAGTGTTTGAAGGCCGCAAAATAAAAAGACATCATTCCCTTTGCTTTTCTATTCAAATGCAGATCAAAAGAAGGCAAAACAGTGCAAGAGGTAAATGGTGCGAGAACCGAATGACTCCAGTGAGTAGCAGATGCCGAAAAAAGCAGGATGCACCTCTCCACCCCAACGAAGCCAGGGAGGAGAGCATGAAAAGGAGAAAGCGGGGTCCATCGGTCTACATGATTGGGGATATCACTGCATCGCCAATTCAGAGTCCGTCCCAACGCGATGACATCGCCTGCACAGAGCTGTAAAATGTGTACAACAGGACAACATTGTCATAACTCACAAAAGGCAAGTGCTTGTTTGTGTTCAGCCTTATGATCATCACACCTAGTTCTGTCTGTTCGTCAGTATCCTCATTGGTTTGTTCGATCACTAGGAGCCCGGTGGGCTGTGGGCATCTCCGTCAGGCCACAGGGTAGCCGGTCTTCCTAATGCAACAGCATCTGGTAAAGAAGTCGGTTGCAATTGCTCGCTAACTAAATTTTCATACTCGCTACTGTCCTCATCTTCGTCGTCATCGTCGTCTTCCTCGTGGTCTTCCTGGCCGGTGGCCTGGCGGTTTAGGGAATCCGAGCTTGAGCCGTCTCCGTTGCCCAAACCCAGACTGGGGGAAGGGTGGCCGGGTGACCCTACGGCTTGTGGCCGTGGCAGCAGGATAGCGCTTGGTGAATCTGGAGGCAGTGCGGTGCTGTAGATGGGTGGAGATGACGAGTTCACAGGTCTCTCTAAACTGGGCTCCGCTGTGGGACCTGAGAGCACGACTCCAGTCAGAGACGAGTGTGAGGATTCGGGAAGGGTAGAGCTATCGGGATGCGTCTCAGCAGCTGCCTCTTGGATCCCTGTGAGAAATATATAATATAGAAAAAAAAAGGACTGATATGGCTGCCATGATTAGGTTGTAATGATGTTGATGTTAAAGTCTCAAGGTGTTCAAGACTACTAGAGACTATTATACAAGTGTGAGTTGGAAGTGGTTGGAGCTAAACTCTGCATAGCTGTGGCCCTCTAGGAATTGAGTTTAAGACCACTGTGGTAAAGGGATAGTTCACAAAAATTCACAAAAGTAATACAATTACCTTATCGATTACTTACACTAAAATTGAATTACTGTTAAAAAGTAAGTTTTGAGTTTCTTTTCCAAAGAACATTTTGAATGCTCCCATTAATGCCCTTGTAACATCACTTCAGTGCTGCACGAAGAATACACTGTTGATCAGCTTTACAGTTAATTAATTTTCATTCTTACAACTAAAACACAAGACTAAAAAGTCATTTTTAAACACCAATTTAAGCCTGACCAGCAGCACAAAAATAATATATAATATATTCAGAAATAAAAAAGCAAAAACTAAAGTTCATAAAAGTTCATAAAGCCTCATTAAAGTTTGTTTTTAACCCTTTAACATGTTCTTTCACAACTTGAGTATAAAAATAGTGGCAATATACAACAAACACAAAACCTTTATGAAATAAATACATGAAAGTAATCTGAATTAGCATTCAGAATCAGTTTGGTGAAACTCGGCACCAAAAAACTGCAATTGCAGACAACCATAAATTTTATGCAATTTAAACAAAACAACAGGTGCTCAAAAATGAAATCTATGAGCAATTTTCAAACTAACTGCAAATTAAATGTGGTATGTCAACAACTTAAGAAAAGTAAACTGTGTATATTTAAAGTGCAAAATCTGCTGTTGTATAACAGCTATAAAATAAATAAAGAAATAAATAAATCACAGCATTTTTCTGAGCAATACAACACTATACATTTTAAATAACATGTGCTCTGAAACATAACAGAAATGTGACCGTGTCTACTAAACTAGACTGCAGCCAAAATTAATGAATTTACCAAGTAACGGACAAACGCATCATATTGTTACAGTAACAGAGTTAATATATTTAAAAAGTAATGTGTTACAGTAGCTAAAATTGACCACGGTGTATGAGTGTGTGTGTGAATGTTTCCCAGTGATGGGTTGTGGCTAAAAGGACATCTGCTGCTTAAAACATAAGCTGGATGCGTTGGCGGTTCATTCCACTGTGGTGACCCCAGATTAATAAAGGGACTAAGCTGAAAAATTAATGAATGTGTTACAGTATCAGTTACTGCCAAAAGTAATGCTGTTACAGTAACGCATTACTAGTAACACGTTTTTGCCCAACACTGCACAATTTACTCACCCTCCACGTTTCAAACCTGTATTGAGTTTTTTTTCCTCTGTTTAATGCAAAAGATTTTAAAAGCTTTAGGAGTTTGTTGTTTTCAGTTAACCACAAATGAAGATATTTTGAAGAATGTTGGAAACCAGTGAACATTGATTTCTGTAGTATTTTTCTACAATTGTTGTCAGTAGCAGCCAGTTTCCAACATTCTTCAAAATATCTTCATTTGTGGTCAACTGAAAGCAAGAAACTGGTAAGGCTTTTGAACTGCTTGAGGGCAAGTAAATGTTGAGTATATAGGCACTGTTGCCTCACAGCAAGAAGGTCACTGCTTCGAGTCCTGGCTGGGCCAGTTGGCATTTCTGTGTGGAGTTTGCATATTCTCCCTGTGTTTGCATGGGTTTCCTCCAGGTGCTCTGGTTTCCCCCACAGTTCAAAGCATGTGGTGTAGTGTATGTGTATGTGTATGTGTACGTGTGTGTGTGTGTGTGTGTGTGTGTGTGTGTGTGTGTGTGTGTGTGTGTGTGAACGAGAGTGTATGAGTGTATGTTTCATAAAACTGGGTTGCAGCTGGAGTGCATCCGCGGCGTAAAGTATTTTTCGATTCATTCCACTGTGGTGACATAAGGGACTAAGCTGAAGCAAAATGAATGAAATCATATACATTTTTATGAATTTGCCCCTTTTTTCACAAAACTTAAAATAGTTTATTCAGACTGGCTCAGCATATCCGGTGCACTCTAATGTTTACAAAGAATTGTTTGTTCAGTTTATTTCCGTACACACTTTTTTTTGAGTTTGTAAATTAACTACTGAACTGTGTGTACAAACTTGAACAGTATTAGTAATTAGTCGTGAGCACATACTTCTTTCTTCTTCAGCGCTGTTACGTTTCCTAAGAGCAATTTCCTCTTTGAGTTTGTTCACTTCTTCTTGGATTTTCTCCCTCACTCTTTCACTTTGATCAACTTCACCACACACTGCCTGCAGAATGACAGAAATTCAAAGAGAGCACGCTGTCATTTCTGGCCTCATTTATTTAAAACAGTTACTTTCTATTTAACAAAGGATCTGTGAAGAACAGCCTGAAAGTAGAGTATAAACTCACCTGCACTCTTTCTTGAAGGGCACTATACACCTGAAATATAGCCCGGATGTCCTTCATCACTCCATCCTTATCAAAGAACTCAGTTCTATAAATAAAAGAAACATTATGTAATTAGCAATAATGTATTTAAGTATTTACTGCTTCAAAACTTTACCTTGAGTTTGAAGTACAGTAATGTGAACTGTGCAAACATGGCTTTACAGACATAAGTTAACATATTTCTTTCCTAGTAACAGACTGATATACTGGCTAGCCTGACTGATTTGAGAATATTTAGCAATTTTGAGATTAATTCTAATACAATTGAATAGTAGGATTGGTTTCCAGTGTGTTGGTTCTAAAATAAACCAAAATTGTTATTGTATATTGCACATTTTTAGTTTTCAAATATCTGAAAAAAATCTAATAAATAGGTTAAAGAGATAAATATTGCCTAGAAGAAAATATTTAAATATTTTTTCCCACCAATTTGTTACTTTCTCAATTACTAGAGCATTCAGATAACAAAATACTAGGGATGTAACAATATTGTAAATACCGTCATACCGCAATAGTAATTTTTTTCAATATTACCGTAGGCCATTGTCTCAATAAAACTATATTTCTGAGAAAAGTTTGCTTAGGCGAATGAAGCGAACGGGAGGTAGCGGGAACTACAATATCCATCAGCCTAGGCGTGGCCATGATCCTTTGCGGTCTGTTGTCACTACAGATCCAGTAATGCGGAAATGGAGTGTGTTGCTAGTAGCGGGGATAAAAAGAGCTGGAAATGATCGAACCTAAAGCGGGTTTTAAATCGGATGTGTGGAAGCATTTCGGTTTCTTTCTAAAAAGATACAAAAAAGGAGAAAAGGTGACAGACAAAGAAAAAAACAATATGCAGGCACTGCCAGACTGTGGTGAAATATAAGTCGGGGAATACGACTAAAAACAGTCATGGGGACTGCAGAACACAGCACACTTGTTAGATTAATGCAGACATTGACTTGTACCGCAAAGAGACCTCTACCTCACTCATGGTTTGTCCTCTCAAGCGGTGGAAAGACAATGCACAATGTTACCCACTACTGTCAACCATGGCTAAATCCTATCTCTCTGTCCCAGAAACCTCAGTCCCAAATGAGAGGGGTTTTTATTTCTGTTGTAGGGGACATGCCCAGAGATCCCAGCTTTTACCAGATGATAATTTTCCTTAAAAAACCCATCTCTATCTAAGTGAGTGAGTGAGTGATTAAATGTTGAATGTGATGAGTTTTCAACAATACTAAATTGAAACTTTATTTTTTTTATATAGTTTAATAGTTTTTTGTTATTAAAATTGAAAAATTGAAGTTCCTGTTTCGAAACTTACAGATAGATGGCTAATATGCATGTCATTGATATGTTCAGTGCTAAGGTAAATAAACACTTTTGGCACTTTTTTTGAGTCTTTTAATTAGTTTTGTTTTTCCTGTAAATTATTCAATAAATACCGTACCGTGCCATTCATACCGAGGAATTACCGGGAAATTCTGATACCGTTACATCCCTACAAAATACTGTAAAAATACTGTACTTTACAATACCTTTATTCCGCAAAGATGCTTCACAATTATCAAAATTGAGGCATTTATATATTTTTAAATAATGTTTGAGTCCTGATAAAAAGTAATGCTTTTCATAGAAAGCAGCATACATGTAATCAACAAAGCCAATAATATTAAAAACATTTCTAAATCAGTGCATTACATGATTTCTGGAGGATCAAGCAACATTTAAGACTGGCATAAAGAAAATAAAGCTTATTGTTCACAGAAGTACAGCCTTTGTGGGTTAAAATATCTTTAAAATATATTTAAAAATCTGACCAACACTCAAACTTGAAAAGGGTTGGTCAGGACAGTCTATAAAACTAAATAATGCAATAACTTACTAACTACATTTAATTATACAGAAAATTGCAGATCTATGTTCTCACCCATGCTCTTTAATAACACTGGCGTAGTTCTTGGAGGTGTTCGGCACAGATGACACTTTATATTCCTGCTGACTGGTGTTGCCCAGGTTTGGGATGCTTAGAGATATCCGTTGATTATATCTGCTGAAATACAGACCAACGTTACACTAGAAATACTCGTAAGGGACAATAGAAGTGGCACAGCACAAACAACACAAATGGATTGCGTTCATATTGTACTGCACAAAACTGCCACAGGTAAGGTTAAAAGGTTACCCTTGATTTTAGGATGGGTTAAGGTGTAAGGGATGATTCAGTGTAATTATAAATGTAATTACAGATGTGCAGATATGTTTTAAAATATAAGTTCAATGCAAAAACATGTATGTACATAAGTGCACTGTAGCAAATTAATCATTTGAATGCAAGTACATAGTAATTAAGGCTACTTCATATAAAGTGGTACCCAAAGTCATGATTTTTATTATACTTTGTGAACATTTACCCTACATCATTAGATTTTTATAATTAAACAGAATGTACGTACTTTCTGTTGGGCCTAAAGAGCACATACTCCAAAGCATGTGTGGAACTATTGGCTGTGGAGATGAAGCTGAAGAGGAGGAAGACTAGATCTGGGATGCCGAGGATATTGGTCAGCTGCTTATGGATCACCTGCTCCCTGAAGGACATCTGCTGTTGGGTGTTCCTTCTAAACCGGTACCAGCCGATAACATTCTGCCAAACAAAGAGACATCGTGAAGCGGGTCAGCTGAATTAAACGCACACAGAGGCACATCACAGGAAAAAGAACCTGTCAAGGTATATAATAATGCATTTCTTTTCCCCTTCCTCTCACACTTTTATCCATATTTTATGGTGACTGCTTACTTTTCTTCTGTCCTTGAGGATTCTATCGAGATTTTCTTCATTGATGTTACCTGCATAGTCATAAAAGCTGCAACATATAAACAGAAAATTTCTTCAATTTAAACGTCTAGATAATTGTTTATTTCAAAATAAAAATGTTGCTGGAGAATTCAAAAGTTTGAGGTCCAAATGTTTTTTTTAAACAAATTAATACTTTTGTTCCGCAGAGTCAAAAGTCGCAATTAAAATGTTTAAATTATTACATTTTCCAAGTTATTTGACTGATAATAAGAAAGCTGAACACTAAATCAGTAAATTTTAATGATTTCTTAAGTATCATATGACAATGAAGACTGCTGAAAATAATTTCAACTTAAAAATGTTAATTATATTAATATTTTATAAAATTACCGTGCTCTGAAACCAAACTAATGCAGTCTTGGTGAACTACTTTAAAATATTTTAAACTTTTAAATATATATATATATATATATATATATATATATATATATATATATATATATATATATATATATATATATATATATACATATATATACATATATATATATACATATATATATACACGCACACACACACTTTTAAACTTTTAAATATATATATATATTTATAAAAAATACAGATTAAAGGTAGTTCTTACCTAAACAGTTGTGCACAAGGTTCATGATTATGGACCTCTGAAAAACAAATGAAAATGAGAAATTAATTACATTCAATATCTGATGCTGTGACAGTCTAAATTTAAACTGATAGTTCACATAAAGAAGAAGATTCTCACCATTTACTAATTCACTTGTTCCTAGGCCTGTCACAATATCTATTTGTTGTATGATATATTGCACTAAAATATATTGCGATAAATAATATTATTGTTATTTTAAGACCATTTTATGCCACTAATTATATAATTCTAGAATGAAAATATAATAGCATCACAATTCAAGTAAACTCTTTCCAAAGAACACATACTATTTGATTCTTAAGTATGATATAATTAATTTAGTTATATTTTAACAATTCAATAGTGAGGCATTGGAATCAGAATGTGAAAACACTTATCCTAAATAAATAATAAAATTTTTTAACAAAAATATGCAAGGTAAAAAGTAACAGAGGCTTTGATATCTGCAACCAGATTTGTTTCAGTTGTCAGACACCCACATGAAAATATACCAGGGTTGTCCAAAGTCAATCCTGGAGGGCCGGTGTCCTGGAGAGTTTAGCTCCAGCCCTAATCAAACAAAACTGAACCAGCTAATCAAGCTCTCACTAGATATACTAGAAACCTTCTGGGAGGTTGTATTGAAGCAAGTTGGAGCTAAATTCAGGAGGACACTGGCCCTCCAGGACATCCCTGAAATATACTAAAGTCATTTATAATAAATACTATAGTTTTTTTTTTTTTTAACCATACTGACACTGACACCTCCAACAGAGATAGAGACATCGTAACATCAGCTGAAATGTTTCTAGAATTGTTTTTTATGGATGGGCTATATACAGATAAAGTCAGAATTATTAGACCCCCTTTGATTTTTTTCTTCTTTTTAAAAATATTTCTCAAATGAGCAACAGAGTAAGGACATTTTCACAGTATGTCAGATATTTTTTCTTCTGGAGAAAGTTTTATTTGTTTTATTTTGGCTAGAATAAAAGCAGTTTTTAATTTTTTCAAAAACATTTTAAGGTCAAAATTGTTAGCCCCTTTAAGCTATATATTTTTTGATAGTCTACAGAAGAAACCATTGTTATACAATAACTTGCCTAATTACTCTAACCTGCCTAGTTAACCTAATTAACCTAGTTAAGCCTTTAAATGTCACTTTAAGCTGTATAGAAGGGTCTTGAAAAATATCTAGTCAAATATTATTTACTTTACTGATATTATTTACTGATTTTAATAAATCAGTTTTTAGAGATTAGTTATTAAAACTTTTATTTTTATAAATGTGTTGAAAAAAATCTTCTCTCCGTTAAACAGAAGTTGGGGAAAAAATAAACAGAGGGACTAATAATTTTGACTTTAACTGTATATTGCTTCACCAAAAATGATTGAGGCCATGTCTATGTGTTGTGTAATAAGTCAATATATTGATTATTGTAACCGGCCTGCTTGTTTCAGTTTCTTATGTTAAACACAAAGGGTGAAAGTTGGAAAAAACAGCCATTGACTTCCAAAGTTTTTTTGTTAAACATTCTTCAGAATATCTTTTGTGTTCAACAGCAGAAAGACATCCATGAACATTTCGAACAACTTGAGTGCAAGAGACTTTCGGGTGAACTATCCCTTTAAATAATCATGTGCATAGAGACACCGTTAACCTTGGAATGGACAAAGAAAAAATATGCTGTCAGATTTGCTGTACTCTCTAAAAACTGTATCATGTGACATGGAATCTCAGCCACCATGATCTAAAGTTTGTCTAGAGGACAACATGACCTTCGTAATGAATCATCTTACTGCAAATGTAAGAGACTACCTGGGTCTTTTTAATGTTGGAGGCCTTTGTGAAATTCTTTGTAAAGTGATCAGAGATGAAGGGGTCCTGGGAGCTGAGCCAAACTCAGAAACATGATCTCTCTATTTCAGAGAGGAGATATCCAGCAGTTATGAGCAAAAACTTTGGTCTACACCAATGTATGGGACAATGTCTCTCTGGCCCACTATCAGAAATACTGTCTGAAACAAGCTTACACGCCAGTCTCCAGCCAAACATTTTTGGGTGATTTATTATGTTATACATTCTGCTACAGTACTTTAGTTAGTTGAGACTGAATAGATTACATCAGCTGTATTTTGAACTGATAAAGTTGCTCTGCTTGCACATGCAGTAAATTCACCACATCCTCAAATGTAAAACATGTTATGTCTGTGAGCTGAGCCTGGAATCCACCAAGGATTCACATTTTGATGAAGCATGATTAAAAAGACTAAACTAAGCGTTACATTTAATCAACATTTTCAGTTTAGCACAGAAAAGCATTTCAGCTGTTGGCGTTTCAAAATTAGATTTTTTCTCTTATTAGTTCGGTCATTGTCTTTGTGTAAACTAGAAAAATTAGTTAAAAACAAAACAAAACGATTACTTTATGTGCATGTGTGTTGTCTTTAGGTTAAACACATATGCAGGATATTTACAATCAAAACCAATATGATAAGAAGACAATGTTTTAAGGAAAGTGATATATTGTTTTCTAATTACAGGTAAAAATAAGTAATATTACCATTTGCAATGACTATTTCGATACCGTTTACACTTATATAATAGGGATATATATTTGTACCTGAGCATTAAGGCTAGATTACAGTATATAGCAGTATGCAATAGTATTGGTTTTCTATGGAAGTCAGTATATTATTTACTAGGGCTGCAGGATATTGGAAAAATTTTATTTTTTATTTTTCGATGTATATTGCGATATTAAGATGACTTAATATATTTATTTAGAAAGAGTTTATAATATTAAATCGATTGGGATGATTCTGCAGTTGGAGTGCAACTCCATTAACCCTCTATAAATACAATCTAGATAAAGATACAATTGAAATGAAGTGTTTTATCCTTTCCTGAGTCTAACAGTATTCAAGTACAGTAACCGAATGATAAAAATAATTCAATAAAATTAATCAAAGTTAAGATTAAAAGTGGTAATTTCTTAGACCTAAAAGCTTTTAAATCATTACACGATCAAATGCATCAAAAATACAAGAAAATGATAAACTATAATACAAACTAAAGATTGCATATCTAGCGATGTGACTATTGCGAATTATAACATTGCGATATCAGTGCTGAAACGATATATTGTGCAGCCCTAGTGTTTACATTTCTAATATTTTTAAAAATATTTTCCTATGAGTTGAAAAAAAAGGAAACTCATAAAGGTTTGGAACCACTTGAGCGTAAATAAATAGTGAGTACTTCAACGGGTTAGAAAAGTTACATTTTGACTGCAGCTTTCTACAGTAAAAAAAAAAAAAAAAAAAAAGCAAACATGGCCTTACCTATTACACTGAGGAATTCTGAGCTACCGATGTGCGAGTCACTGATGTTTAAAGTCTCCTCTTGCCTCACTTCTCCCAGCAGGAAGCCCTCCTGAAAAACAACATAAACATTTTTGCTATACATTAAATGGCATCTCAATGAGAAAGATGTTAAGATGGACTTTGGCTAAAAAAAGCACTTTCCACTAACAGTACAAAATACAGCCCGTTTAAAATTTTGGTTTATTTTTAATGCTAAATACACTTTTAATTAACCGTGAAATTAAAAATCCAAAATGAATTTGTGAAACATGAATGTATAATCTGGGTGTACTTCTGTGGCCATGTTGTCAGGGTATTTTATACACACTTTTTAAATCCAGACTCGGATACACGTCTTTTGCCACATATTTGGTTTTCACATACTATAGAGTAAATTTCATTTTCATTGCAGCCCACAAAAGATCATGTCAGTAAGACACTGTTCATTAGTTTACTTTATTTTTACAGTTCATTGTTAAAAAAGGAAAGGTTTGGCGCAGGCTTTTCAGAGAGACTTGAAGTCAGTGCTAAATATACTGAATAACAAAACTTGTGTGTTACTGTACAATTATTTATCTGTTTTATTTATCTGCAACATTATTTTATTTGTATTGACTATTTATTTCTTTTTAAACCAAAACTGCATGCACTTTTTCCAAAGTACATCACAGCAACATCCACCCATACTCCAATTCGTCCATTTAATACATCCTTAAATGCAGAATGCTTATTAAAATGGCAAGTTTCCATGTGAAAATCTTGATGACATAAGCATAATATGGACCTAAGAGAATGTAATAAAATTGGTGAAACTGCAGTTCTTAATTATCTTAAAATCTTTGCATGAATTAGCCATTTACTAGCAATGAAGATGAAAGATAAAATGGCACATGCTAAAGTAGATTTATCTATTAAGCAGCAATGCAGATTAATTTAAAATTATTGACAAAATTATTAAACAAATTAAGGATTAAATTAACTATATTTAAAATGGTGACACATTGGCTCAGTGGGTAGCACTGTTGCCTTACAGCAAGGTTGCTGGTTTGAGCCCCTGCTAGGTCAGCTGGCATTTCTGTGTGGAGTTTGCATGTTCTCCCAGTGTTGGCGTGGGTTTCCTCCGAGGGCTCCAGTTTCCCCCACAGTCCAAAGACATGCAGTACAGGTGAATTGGGTAAGCTAAATTGCCCGTAGTGTATGTGTGTTTGTCCTGGTCCTTCAGGTTTGGGGTTAAGCGTTGGGCTAACAAGCCCCCTTGTAAAAATGAGATATGGTGAATCTAAATATCAACTTTGATAAAAATGGCACTGGGAGTAAATAAGTAAATATTTTATATTTAATTAATTATACAAGTAAAATTAAAAATTCATTTTTTCATTCATTTATTTATTTTCTTTTTGGCTTAGTCCCTTTATTACTCAGGGTTACCACAGTGGAATGAACCGCCAACTTATCCAGTATATGTTTTACACAGCGGATGCCCTTCCAGCTGCCACCCAACACTGAGAAACACCCATACACACTCATTCACACACATACACTACAACCAATTTAGCTTATTCGATTACCCTATAGCATATGTCTTTGGACTGTGGGGGAAACTGAAGCACACAGAGAGAACCCACGTGTACACGAGGAGAACATACAAACTCCACACAGAAATACCAACTCAACCAGCCAGGGCTCAAACCAGTGACCTTGCTGTAAGGCGATCATGCTACCCACTGCGCCACTTTGACGCCAATAACAATAATAATCAGAATTTTTTTTTTTTATACAATAACAGGTAAATGACAAAAAACTAAACAAACAAACACCCTAGCAAACAAATAAACAAACAAACAAGCCAAGTACTTTGTACCATATTAGTTGAGTGTGCCTACAATTTAGACAAAAATATTAATTAAAAATGATACAAGTTTATAACAAAAAATACCCTGAAATCATTTATACATTATAATTTATATTAATTATTATTTATATTAATAATATTTATGTGATTTCCCCCCCCCAAACGCTGTTATTTACTGTTAAATATTGTCATTTTCAGGAACAAAGCTCTAATATGCACCTTTTGGCATTGAGGTGAAGTTGGATTTATATTCACACATTCAGACTTCCTCAGCAATAATATAATTTCTGAAAAGTATTCTTTGCTAATTCTAAATAAGGAAATCATATTAGCAGCAAACGACTATCAAAGTACAACGTTGTTCAGTTAATTAAATAGTGCTAATGCTGCTTTAAAGTCATATTTACATGTAATTTCAGGCTGAATGTTCGAAGTAACTGTAAACGATATAGGAAGCATGTCACAAGTTATTACTAAACGAATGTGCAAATAGAAAACCAACTTTACTTCAATCCTTTTGGCTAGGTCTCACTGAAATGGCTGACTATTTTTAGCCAATATATGAAGGTGGTTTCAGATCAACCCCAACTGTAAAAACATTATACTTGTTGACAGTAAAATCAATAAACATTCTCAAATCAAAACTAGTGGTTGTCATTTAGATTCTTAATGAGGAAAAAACAGCAAAAAACGTCACATCTCTGACAAGTTGAAAACAGGTTAATCATAACACTCAACTTAACCAGCCCAAAGCAACTATGTGAAGCCTGCAGGTTCAATGGCAGCTCACCTACTTCCCTAAAGCCTCAACACTAGATTAGAGGGCATGACACAAACAGCAAAATGATAAGCATTATCATATTAACATTTTGTAAACACGTCATTCAGTATGCATGCCAGACATTCCAAGTTTGCATTTGACAGTTGTTGCTGACAAACAAGTTAGCCAACAGACAGCTAATGTGACTGTATTGACGTACTGAGTCTTTGAAACACGACAGCCAACGAGTTTAATGCAATGGATGATACTGGACGGAGTACATTTTAGACAGCGAACGAATAAGCAGTATATAAAGGGCAATGCCACTTTCAGAAAAGCTCGTAAAATCTGTCGGCTTGAAGGTTTGCTAGCTGTCACCCTGGCTGCGACTCAAAACCTATTGAGCTTTCTACCTAGTGTGCAGTTTGTTTGGTATCAACTACGCGTTTTGGGGCAACTTTACTTGACTTTCGATATATAGACATTTGCTTGATATGAAATTATACAAAACTACTAAAAACATCAGACATTTTGAGGTTCTAGCGCAGATTTGTTGACAACAGACGCTAACTAGATAGGCGGCTCAATAGGTTTTGAGACGGAGCCACTCGGTAGCCACACCAGGAAGATGACACCGGGAAATGAATTAATTCTGATTTGATGGAATTAACATTTTGTTGTTTCGCTGTGCGGTCGAGCCCTTAAACATTTACCTCAAAATGCACGTGGCAGGGTACTTACATGGTCAGAATTGCTGTTGGCGCTGTGATAACACACAGAACTAAAAGTATATCCCGAAATTGACGCCGCCATGATGGAAACATACGCGCCGATCCCACAATCCCTTGCGCAGAGACTGTCCATGAATAAACAAAACCAAAAAGTAAAAGATCGTGATTTAAAATAGTTAACAGCCTATTTTTATGTTAAAATAGCCGAATTATGAAAAAGTTATTAGCTAAGTGCAGAAATAAGCACTGATCTGTGTCATTGTATAAATATAGATGAGTGATAATAATGCATAAATGTATAAAGTCAATTTATTTGTTATTTTAAGTGTTTTATCTTATAGTCCTTAAAACGCGTAAATAAAACGTTAAATATAACATTTAAATTACTGTTTGAAGATAAATTGAATGTAATAAATAAAATAAACATTTCTATATGTCTAATTTTACTTACAACTCATCTCTATTTCATTAAACGTGGCCAATAAAATGCGTTTAGTTTCTTGTCCATTTTTATCCCAAAATGTGAAATATTAATTCATTTATTTAATTTAAATGTTTAAATATTGAAACTTATCCAAGTAAAATAAAATGCATCAAATGTAATAAATAAAATAAATGTATCAACATTTACACTTACTTATTTAACATAAAATACCTTAAAATTTAAAAACTAATAAAAACACCAATAAAATATAATATTTAAATTAAAAATATGATGTAAAACATTTTCTTTCTTTTTTTTAGCATGTTTCAACCTTTATTTTGAAGTGTCATGTCGATTACCGGGTTTAATTATACGTCACCGGATGTTGACAAGACAGGACGTCAGGATGGACTCGTCAGTGAGTACACATGGGACAGGAGACTGTCCAGTTAATTGTACAAAATCAGAAGATTTTGCGCCTTCAAAACTCGGAACAAAGGAATAGTAAGAGATTTTTTACTTGAGCTGCTAACCCTGCTATTAGTCGCTCTCACAGGAGATTAAATGGGTGTTTTTATCATTCTGCACACGGATGTTGTTTATTCTGCCCAGCAACTGTTGCACGTGAAATGTTCCCCTAAATAGTTAACATGAAATGTGTACGTTAACCCTCTTGATGCCTTCAGGAGATGGATACAGTTTTCGAATACAGTGGATAAACATTGTAAATAATGATAAATGTCTTACTTGTGTGGAACTTATATGAAGGTGTAATTTAAAAGTTACTAAATTCAATTAAATTAAAATACTTCAAATTTATAACGTTAATCCAGGAGTACATGCTTTTTCCTTCATAACATCTAAAAATAAACAGAGATATACATTAAAACGTTACATATTACGTAATATGTAATAAATAAATATAAATTCCTTTCATATACAAAATATTCTATAAAAAAGGCAAATGAGAAAATCCTTAATGAATAATTAAATAAACGCATTAACAAATATGTTTCCCCCGGCTGAGTAGTTAACGTGAAATGTGAATGTCAACCTGCAAAATGCATTCAGAAGATGTACAGTTTTTGAATTCAATAGACAAACATTAAAAATAACGATAAATGTCATCATTGTTGAACAATGTTAACAATAACCTCTAGAGTTTATTAAATGTAATAAAAATGCATAGAATTTATAACAAAATTTTCAAACACAATACATGTTTTTTCTTTCTTTCATATGCAAACTATTCTTTAAAGGCAATTGTGGAAAAACCTGAATGAATAATTAAACGCATAAACAAATAAACTAATAATCCTAAAGTGTTTGCAAAATTACCCCTCCTCCTCTTTCTCTTTCTCTCAAATGGGTCTGATTGCATGGTTTAATAAAAACAATATCTTTGAGTAATTACTTTGTATGCCATCACCTTTTTTTAATACCAGAACTTGTGCAGCTTGTTTGGTATTGATTTTTTTGTCCATTAATATTTGTCTTGAAGCTGGGATGGTGCTTACAAGAGAGAGCTGCAGACTTACAAGGATATTGGAGATGTTGGAGAAATATGGTAATTTTACTGTTTCGTGTCAAAGGCTGTACTGTAATATTTGAATGACTTAAGGCTACACAATATATCGTTTGAGCATCGATATCGCAATGTGTGTATCCGCAATAGTTACATCACAAGACATGCAATGTTGAGTTAGGATTATAGATGACTAGAAACCACAGGTCAAAACACACTAGATTTGTGGAGACACTGCAGAATTGAACCAGGATAGAATTAAAGTTTTTAGAGCCTTTGAATGTGTGAGCATTTGAAGAGCGTTTAAATCATTTTAGTAGTGCATAAAGAAGATTCATTAAGAACAATTTTATGAAATTATGTATTTGGTGAAGACTATACACTATTTTACGTTTGATTATTCAAATTCTGTACCTGAATACAGTTAGACTCTCTCCAAAAGAACATTAGGCACTATTTTAATTAACTTTAATATTTGCTTAATTGTGCTTATTTATGACTGTATTTTATGAACGTATATAATAAATTACATAAAAATAATTTTTTTTTATTTTTCTCCCCTACAAAATCATCCAAAGTAATGACTTTGCAAATAGAGCTATTCAAGTCATCTGGTGAAATTATACCACAATATATATCGCAGAGAGAAATATATTGCATTGTAAAATTTTTCCAATATCGTGCAGTCCTAGACTTCATTGTGATGTTTAAAATGAAGTATTCCAGGACTAGTCTTTTCTGACAGTATACGACATGTAAATCAACAGTATTCTTTGGTGTATCATTTGTGTTAAAGCAATATAAATCCTCCACCGTTAGGTTTGGTGAGGAAAGCATGCACAGAGTGATCAGATGGATGGAAGCACAAAATATATCTGAAAACGCTGCAATTCTTGATATTGGAACTGGAAATGGGATGTTTCTCGTGGAACTGGTAAGTGTGCAATTTTATTATCTCTACCTTTAGTTATTTACTTTATATTTTATATTACTTCTTAATTTTACTTGTGTTTGTGTTTTAAAGGTGCAGTAAGCAATATTTGAAAAATGATTTTCTGCAAAGACACACATGCAGCCAATCATCAGTAAGGGGTGTGTCTGAGACATTAAAAAGGGGCCAGTTCTTTTTGGGGTTTTGTTTTTTTCAAATATGAACATCATTTGACAAAGTTAGCTTAGTGCACCTTTAATTGTAACACTTGTTTTAAATCATGAACAATTCAACAAGTATAGATAATAGTAATAATAATCCTAATCACATTCATTGTCTCTTAAGGCGAGGCATGGTTTTTCAAACCTTACTGGAATTGACTATTCGAAGGCTGCCGTAGAGCTCACCACAAATATCCTGGTAGAAGAGGGCTTAAAAAATATAAATATTCAGGTAATATTTGAATAAATATACTCCTTGTGCTTCTCAGAGATACAGAATATTTTACAAAATATTTTATTTTGTCTTTAAAAGTCTTTGTGTTTTTTCGTGTGATATCAGGTGGAGGATTTCCTGAACCCCAGCACAGAATTGAAGGGTTTTGATGTATGTATTGATAAAGGCACGTTTGATGCCATTAGTTTAAGCCCAGAGGACAGAGAAGAGGCAAAAAAACATTATGTGACGTCTTTAAGAGCTGTCATGCGGCCCAACGGCTTCTTCATCATCACCTCCTGCAACTGGACTAAAGAGCAGCTGCTAGGGATCTTCAAACCTGGTACCTTTGAAGCATATTTATTTAAGTTAATATTCATTAAAATATTATTATTATTGTTTCAAATACTGCTCAGATGGTAATGCAGTTATGTTTTTTTCAGGTTTTGAACTGGTACGAGAGTTGCCCACCCCCCATTTCCAGTTTGGTGGTGTGACGGGTAACAGCGTCACCGCTTTGGTATTTAAACAGACTGACTGACATTAAATTTTTAATTTTTTATTTTTTTTTTGCTGTTTATGTGTAAAAAAAAAGATTTATGTTTTTTTTATAATAATAAACTCTTGTGAAAAAAGAAAAACTTGTTATTCTTTAACACTGAAAGCGCATTTACATCTATTTCAATCATGAAGATACAAAAATAATGACTGTCTTTATTATGGAATGAAACTTGGAAATGGAATTAGTCTGACTGAGCAGACTGAGCATTTATCTGTTTATACATTAAAATAATGAATATTTTTTAAAAGGATATAAAAGATTGTTGGCAAATAAATACATTTATATATACATTATACGTATACATTATATACAAAGGACTGAATTTTGTTGATACATTTTTGTGTAATTTTATTGATAAACCAGTGCAGCATAAAATTATATATATATATATATATATATATATATATATATATATATATATATATATATATATATATATATATATATATATATATATATATATATAAATTCAACGAAGACGGTCACTAGAGCCCTGCACAGAATTGGACTGATATGTTGTTGACCAAGAAACTTCTCCAAGCTTGAATGAAGTTTGCCAGGGACAACCTAGAGAAAAATAACGAAAACTGGAAAGTGGAAACGTATTCTTTGGTCAGATGACAACTAGAGCTCTTTGTGCCATAGAGATTTTGCCTATATTTGGAGGAAGAAGGGAGAGGAATTGAACCCAAAGAACACCCTTCCCACAGTGAAACATGGCAGTGGGAGTATAATGCTGTGGGGATGTTTCAGTGCGTTTGGAACTGTGAATCTCATCAGGGTTGAAGGAAATATGAAAGGAAGAGTACCAGTAGCCAGTAGACTTTGAAAAACAGTCCGCAACAAAACTTTTCTGGGTCGACTTTTTGTATTCTAGTATTATAACGACCCAAAGCATCTTACTTCTGAAGTACCTTCAGAACAAAGTGAAATTCCTTGACTGGCCTGCACAAAGCCCAGACTTGAATCCAATAGAAAATCTGTGGGGCCCACTAAAGTCTAGAGTTCAGTTCATGCCAGAAGACCAACATATCTGGAAGAGATTGAAAGATTTGCTAAGGAAGAATGGGCTAACACTCCTCAGGAGACATGTTTGAAACTTGTTGAGAGCTACGATAAACGACTGATGGCTGTTATCAAGCAAAAGAGTTACACTATTGACTATGAACATCAGAGGGCTAATTATTTTGACCTCCAGGCTTTTTTTATTTACTACATATCTGTGTTTCTGTTTGCATTACAAAC